GTGGGCCACCCTGGGTCACCCAGGAGTGTGGCCCTGGGACGGACAGGCAGCGCAGCAGAAGGGACCCATGCCAGGTGAGGTTCCCCAGTCCCACAGGCCCCCTGAGAGCCTCATGTCCCCGAGTCCCTTATCATCCCCACTGACCAGGAGACACGGTGGCCGCAGAGGGGAGAGTCACCGGCCAGCGACGGCGGGCGGAATTCAGGCCGGGTCTCTGCAGAGCGGAGCTCCCGGCCTCCCACCTTCCGCCTCATCTGGCCGAGGGACCATCCTGAGGAAAAGGGAAAAATCGCTCCCTAAACCGGGGCACTGAGTCCTCAGGTTGGGTTTGCCAGGGTGACGCCAAAGGCCCTTCCGGACCACATAACGGGCGGGGCTCGCCGTCAGAGCTGACGGACATCCCGACCAGAGGGACAGGGCTGGACTCAGGGCCCACGGTCAGGTGGGGACAGCACCATATTCAGGGGAAGGGCAGAGCCCTCCCCACCTGCCCCCTCCATCCTTCCCCAGCTCCCGCCCCCCAGCCTGTCCCCCTCACCGTCAGAGGCAGGTCGTTGGCCTTCGCATGGAGACGACACCCCAGCCCTGGCCCCCCGCTTTAGGGCTTGGTGCCTCTTCCATCCCCAGCAGTGAGAGGCAGGCCGGGGGCAGTCTGCTGGCCTCCAGCCCCGTCCCGTCCCGCTGGCTGGCCTGGGGAGCCCTGGGGCAGCTGACTGAGACTGGATGCCAGCTGGGCCAGAGGAGAGGTGGCCTGAGGAAGAGCACTGACAGGCCCGGCCTGCCCACGTCTGACCCTGGGCTCCAGCACCTGCGCCAAACTCTGGCTCTCGCTCGTAATGTGGGCCAGGGACTGGGGGTGTCCCCTCGCTCTTTTGGGCCCTGTGTTCCTGTCTGTCCAGTGGCTGGGTGAGGCCATCTCCGGGGACCCATCGGAGACCCGGGGTACCAGCTGATGATATAGGAAGGCTGGCAGGCCTGTTAGGGGGCCAGGCTCTGCGGCTGGAGCTTTGACGCATGAGCCATGGGCACGAGAGGCCGTCCATGGGGACTGCTGGCTCAGGGGCCCAGCTCCTCTGGGAAGGTGAGGGGCCCATAGAGAACGGGCCCCACCCCCAGGGGCCTCCAGCTCCAGCTCCTCCTGGGGCTTTCTCTCCCTGCTCTGTCCGACAGCACCGCCCTGACCCTCTGTCATTCGCTCTGTCCTTCTGTGTCCCAGGCCAGACTCCCTCTGGGGAAGAGAAGGATCACGCAGGGCCTCATTCTGCCCCTCCCAGACCCTCCCCCAAGCCTTGTGACCCAGGAGCTCCGGGCAGTACATCCAGATGGTGATTTCCTATTGGGCCCTGAGCCTGGGCCACATGTCACCAGCTCCACATGCCCTGGCCAGCAGCCCCCAGAGCCCTGGCCAGCCAGCAGTCCTTTGCCTTCCTTCCCTGTCTCCCTGGGGAGTTTGTGGTCCTGGCATCGCCCACTGCGGAGACCTGGGAATCGGGCCCAGACACCACACCTCATCTATTTTTAAGCACAAGCCCATGAAAGATTCACAGGCTGCTTTATTTACAGGTGGCGGGATGGCCTCTGTGCCTTGTGGCACACCCACCACGAGGTCAGAAAACATGTAGGCTGGGCCAGCTCTGCCTGAGGGCCCCAGGGCAGCCTAGCCCGCACGCAGGCGCCGCCCCTCCGTGCAGGGCCTGACTCTCCTCGCTGCTTCCCTTCCTCCTGTGCAGCCTCCACATCAGCCTCCTGGAGATGCCCCAGAGCGGGCAGAGGCCTCATGGGGGGCTCCTCCCCCGCGCTCCCTGACCAGCTTTGCAATCAGCTGCTCCCCGTCCACACCAGCCATGATCCTTCAGCATTGCAGACATTCTCCCCTCCCAGGCTTTCATCCTGGTATTTGTCTCTCCAGGGCCGGTTCGAAGGGAGAGGAATCCTCCTTCTCCTGATGCGAGAGACAAAGTCAGGAGCAGGCCTGGGGCTGGCATTCTTTCATCTCAGCCACACTTGGTGAGATAAGCATCCCATTTGACAGATGAGGAAACCGAGGCTCAGGTGCCTTGGGCAACTTGGAGTTTGAAGCCAGATCACTGGACCTCAAAGGCTGGTTGCCCGTCTCTGCCCCTAATGCCACGTGCCAGGGAGGAGTCACACAGTTCTGCTTTGTCTCAGCTTCCAGAAACGGGGAGTCTTGGCCCTTCCCTCCAGACACCCAATCTAGCCCCAGAAACATGAAGACCACAGAGCCCCACTCCGACCCCGGCCGTGGGAGGCCACGGGTGGACAGGCAGGTGGGCTGGTCAGCCTCTGCCTGCTCTGCCGCCAGAGCCAGTGTGCCCTGTGCCACCAGCTCCCAGCGCCCAGTGACATTTCCCTCCCCTTGGCTGTGGGCTCCTGCGGGCCTCAGGAGGTGGTGCCAGCTCAGCCTTGGTTGTGTCACCTGGTGTCACATGCTGTCTGGCTGGGTCCCGGCAAATGCGCAGGAGGGCCCTCAGCTATTGTCCAGCAGGGATGGGACTGACTCAGCATCAACCCCACCCGGCACCTTCCCTGGGTAGCTGTGGGGACTCGGGGCCCTGAGAGGTCAGCCAGGACGCCGGCACCTCCCCGCCCAGCAAACCAGCACCTCCCTTCTTCCCCCGGGCCCTTGGGAGGAGCCGCGTAGGACCCGTCCCAGTCCCTACTTAGTTGAGAATCACTGATTTTAGAGAAAAATCTCTTCTCTCAGTATCTCCAACCCAGAAGACTTTCTGAGCTTTCACGTTCCAGAAACAGAGAGTCTTCACTAGCTTTCCAAACAGGATATTACCATAAAATAGTAAATATTTGTTTTCACACCCGTGGAGACTGACGCCTGTCCACGAGCTGCTCGCCAGCCCCCAGCCGCCCCCCTCCTCCCTCTTGGAGGAGGAAAAGCACACATTTTCTTCCAACGCTTCCCCAAGAGGAGGCCGGAACTGGGAAAGAGGTGGAATGAGGTCACAGCCTCCCCATCTGCCTGAGGACGCAACAGTGTCGTCCTGAACCACGGTCCCTGGGAGCAGGAGGGCAGGGCAGCCCGCCCAGCACCAGGCAACCTTCCCACGGCAGCAGGTGGGGGATCCAGTGACCGAGGTCAGCCTCCTCCCCTGTCCCTTGCTGACTGGTGACTCTCACCTCTGGGAGCCCCACTTCCCCATCTGCAAAATGGGGAGGCATTTGCTCTTGAGAGGTGCCAGTCGTTGTTCCCAGAGCTGGTCACACAGTGAATGGAACAGGCCAGTCCCAGTTGAGTGGCCGTTCCAGGCTGGGGGAGAGGACAGCGGACACACAGCCTGCAAAGGTGTGACAACGTGGGAGGAAGAGCGAGGAAGAATGTGAGGCAGGCGAAAGGATGTGAGTGATGGGTGAGGCTCCTTGGAAAGGGAGGGCAGCCGGGAGCGAAAGGACCAGAGCCCAAAGGCAAAGCAGCCCTTTCTGCCCAGCACTCAGGTTGTGAGGACTGGTCTCCACTCATCCCATAAGGACCCTCTCAGGACCTCGGGCTGAAAACATCGCCGACCCGGCTCTGAGAAGCCCGCCAGCCCGGTGACCCGCCTGCACCCGCCTCTCTGCCTGGCTCCCTCCAGCAGCACTGGCTGTAGGGCATCCACCTGCCCCCACCAACGTTCTCTCCCGGAACCTTGCTGTCTCCACCCACAGCAGCACAAGCGCCCAGTCTCCTGGGGACTCTGGGGAGACCCCTGCAGAGGGGTGGCAACATCCTGTTCAAGGAGTAGAAAGAGCTGGTCTATTTAAACTGATGCAAGAAGATGGCCAGACGGACTTGGAAAAGACTGGACTGGGGAATGCTCTGATAGCTTTCATTGTAAAACGCCCGCTGGTGTAATGCAATGAATGATGCTCCACTTTCCGGAAAACCTGACAACACCTGTGATTGGGCTACTAAGCCATGCAGAGAAACCTCACCTCCCTCAGGGCCAGAGGGCCCCATTCGTCTCGGGAACGAAGTTTTTGTATTTATCAGCAAAAACAGAGCAGTTTTGGGTGGCGTCAGTGAAGTATTTCAGTAACAGGTCACCTCTGCATCTGTAAAAACGGAGAGGCCAGTAACGTCACTCTTAACGCCCTTAGGAGCTCCAGACATAGGTGGGCATTTGTAAATTGCAGCAAGCACAGGACCCCTGCCCACCAGGTGGAGGACTTGCTCAGAGAGAAAACTTGGTTTTACACCCTGGCTCTGCTTTGAGACCTGAGAGCTGCCCCCCCAGGGGATGATCTGGAACACCAGACCTCCTCCCCACCAGGCCAAGCACACCCCTGCCCTGATAGGCTGCTGGCCCACCCGCTGAGCTGATGTGAACACAGTCGCCTGATATCTGCCGCTGGCCCCACTCCAAGACCAGGGACATGCTGCTCCTGGCACCCCCCAGCCACGCCCAGAAACACGCCCCATTCCTTCCGTCCCCACCCCAGGAGTCCAGTGCACCCACTAGGCCCCGCAGGGCAAGGTGGCTCGAGGGCCAGTTGGATCTCCCCGCAATTGCCCGAGGGGACCCGAAGGGACAGGCTGCCGGTCCAGGTCGCTCGGGCGCGGTTCCATGGCCCCTTTCTGTGGTGACTGGGCTGGCACGGGCGGCCGCGTCCTCGGGCTGCCGTCGGAGCTGTGGTCTGGGCTGAAGGGTGGCGGCCACGGCGGGGGGACGGCCGGAGGTGGGGGACATGGGCCGGGGCGAGGAGGCCCAGATTAGGGGGGCGGTGCCAGAGCCCAGGCGACCTGCCAGTGAGGATGCACGGGCTGGAGAGGGGCGCGGCGCCAGAGGCTAAGGGACCTGGCGGCGGGGGGAGAAGTGTCGCGGGGCGGGGCGGGTGACACGGGGCGGGGCGGGGCGGCGCCGGCGCGGGGAGACCGGCGGCCGCGGTGGGCCAGACGCGGGGCGGGGCGCGCCGCACCTAGCCTCTTCCTTGGCGCGAGCTCCTCGCTCCACCCCGGCCGCCCCGCCCCGCCCCTCCGCCCTCGCAATAAGGGGCGCGGGCGGGGCCGGGCGGGGAGGAGGGGGAGCTGCCGCCAGTCGGAGTTCGGCGGGGAGCCCCAGGCCCGCGCCGTCGGGGCGCGTCCGGGCCATGGAGCTCTGGCCGTGGCTGACCGCGGCGCTGCTGCTGCTGCTGCTGCTCGTGCAGCTCAACCGCGCGGCCAAGTTCTACACGAAGATCACGCTGTACTGCGTGCTCTGCTTCGTGGTCTCCGCGGTGGCCTCGGTCGTCTGCCTGCTGCGCCACGGTGGCCGGACGGTGGAGAACATGAGGCAAGGCAGCGGGGCAGGGTGGGGGAGCGCCTGGCGGGGGTCGGGGGGGCGCCCAGGCTTGGGGAGAGCGCCCGCGGGGAAAGCGCCTGGCAGGGGTCGCGGGGAGCGCCCGGGTCGGGGTGGGGGGGCGCGCGGAGGGAAGGGGCCTGGCGGGGGGCGGGGGCGCCAGGCGCCGGGCCGTTGTGGGGGGGGGGCGGAGAAGCGCCTGGCTGGGGTTCGGGCAGCGCCCCGGTTCGGGGGTGCGCGCGGGGTGGGGAGCGCCCGGCCGCCGCCCGCTTCCGCTTCCCTAACTTTTGTTTCTCCTCTCCCTCTTTCCTGCCTCTCCCGGCTCGGGCGGGCGCGCGAGGGGGGAGCGGAACTGAGTGCGCGGCTGGGTTGGGCAGAGGTCCCCGGGAGCCGGCGTCACAATGTCCCTGCGCCCTTGCCAGGAGGCCCCGGCCCAGGGACAGACCCTCAGGGATTTAAGCTGGTCTCGGCCTCTGGCGCCGCCGCGTCCCTGCGCCCAGCGGAGGGCGTGCCGGGTGGCGGATGGCCTAGCGGCTTTCCGAGAGGAAGGGGACTCGGCCGAGCTGGGAGAGGCTCAGTCCTGCTTCACTCTGGGGAAACCGAGGCCGGGAGGGTGGGGCTTGCCCCAGGGCCGGCCCTGCCGGAGCACCGCCCCCCCCCCGGGCCGGGCGCGCTGGGGCGTGGGGCGTCCCTCTCTGCTCTCCAGCCCCCCTCCCGCCCACGCGCCAGGTGATGGATGCACCTGTGTTCAGGCGCGCGGGCAGGTTCCCCCTTCCCTTTCCGCCGTCTTCTCGGGAGGGTGGGGAGACTCCGTGCTCCGGAAGGTTGGGGGGTTGCCCGATGGGGGAAAGAAGTGGGTGGTGGCTGGAATGTTCCTCGGGGTGCCTCCCGGCGTGGCAGAGCTCTGCGTTCTTAGGCCGGGCGGGGGTGGTAAAGGGGGGGTCAGGCTGGCCTGACCAGAGGGTTGGGGACCTCTCCGAGTCAGAGGCTGGGGGGCGTGGCTGCCTGAGAGGGGGCTCCTTCTTACCCTTTCTCCTAGTTTTGGACCTCCTGGGGGCTGTTGCTAACATTTCTCTCTGTGGGTTTTGCAATGGCCTCTTGGCTGTGGCCTGGTGTGGGGATGTTGTAGTCCCTGAGGCCCCACCATGCATGTGGTTCAGGGCAGCGGGTGAGGGTTCCTGGTTTTCCACCATCTCTGTCCTTGCCCGGCCCAGCTGGCTGATGCTGCTCGGACTGGCCCACACTTCATGGGTCCTCCAGGCCCTGCCTTTGGGGTTCGTGGCTTCCTGTGGCACCAGGAGTCGGTGTGAGTGAGGACTCAGATTGGAGGGCCTGGTAGGCACTGGATAGGTCTATGGTGCCCCCCCATCCCCCCAATGGCCCAGGCCAGCTCCCCGGGGAGCAAAGACCCAGGGGCAGCTAGGTGGTGTCCTTCTGGCAGTCTTGTTAATGGAGTGCCCCCTGGGGAGGAGAGGGCCTGTTTCCAGAAATAGGGAGTCTTCAGGGCTGGGTCCCGGCTGCCCAAGGATAGGGATGCCTGAGTCTAAGTACATCTCGGAAGGCCTGGCCTGAGATGAAGGCCCAGGGACTCCCTGCAGGCAGGAGCCTTCCTCAGCCAAGCAGGGGGAGGTGGTGGTGGGTTCAGGGAGCAGCAGGCCAGGAGGCTCCTTGGAGGGGCTGCTGTCCTCCCAGAGCCAAGCAGGAGGGTGGCATGTCTAGTTCTACGGCAGTAGGCAGCCCTGGGCCTGGCTGTCTTGAGCTGCAGGCGAGTTTCAGCGGGCGTGAAAGGAGGCCACCCTGCCCCTCCCCAGGTGGCCTCCTTACAAGTTGCTTCCTTGTCTTTTAAAAGGCCCAACTTGTTCTTCAAGTGTTGCCTCCTGGACTTCAAAGCTGTTTCCCAGGGGTCAACTCAGAAGGTCCCAGCTGCCCTTCTGCCTTTCGGACAGGTGGCTGGACCTGGCAGGCTGGTCACACTGGCTCCTGCCGGCCTTGGTCCTCTGGCCTCTGCCGGCCTGGGCTTGCTCTTCTCAGCCCAGAGCCGGACTCAGCTGCCAGCCTCACCCCAGATTCTGGCCAACAAAGCTGTCTTCTGAACCCTGGAGGCCCTGAGGGTGCTCAGAGGGCAGCTGCCTGCTCCCCTCCCCTCCCCGGGGCAGCCCCCAGACTCAGGCTCCGAGAAGGGACTGCTCTGGATGTAACAGCAGGAGCTCTGTTCTCCCCAGGGAGAAGGTGGGCCTGGGGGTCCAGGGGCCCACAGCTTCCTTCCCCTGCACTGCCAGATCCCACAGGGGTGGGTCACAGCGATGCCTCCCAGCCATGGCTAAGAATGGGGTTAGGGACGGCAGAGTCGAGGTGGGGCGCACTGTGAACATGTGAGTTCCCTGAAGGGCGTGGCCGTGGGGGACGCTCAGAAATGCAGAGAATGCAGAGGCACTGCATCACTCCAGTCCCGAGGTGCAGGGACAGGACCCAGCGGGACCGAGGTGACCGTGTGGGAGGAGGTTGAGCGGACAGGCTCCCTGGCCCCTTGTTTGAGGCCCACCCTGGGCCAGGATATGCCAAGTTGGACCAGTGTGTCCTGGGATGACTGAGCACCCTGGCTGCCCACCTGCTCCCCTCTCCAGTCCCACCCTGACTTCCGGAAGGACTCTGCTTGCCATCCTTTGCCTATGATGCTGTTGTCTCCACTTCCGTCTCCTGCGCACCTACTGTGCGCTGCAGATGCCTCAACCTTGGGAACAGGAATTATTATGTGTCCTGTTTTGCAGATGAAGAGGCTGAGGTTCAGAGAAGCAGCTTGAAACTAAGGCTTCCAAGGGCGGGAGGAGGGTCCTAGAGCTGGGACCTGGCACAGCTCGGATGCAGACCTACTGAGAGCGAGTGCAGAGCGCATGCTTTTCCTTTTTCCTCTGTGCCCACCGGCACCGGGGGCTGGAGCAGCACCGTGGTCACCTCAGGCGGCAGAGCAGGCCTTGGGCAAGCCTTGAGCCCTGGGAGGAGCAGCCCTGCTCTCCCCCTCCCCTGCTTTCCCATCTTCCCCCTGAGCAGTGGCCCCTCCCCTTGGGGCTCTGGGCTAGCACCCAAAGAGGCTTTTGCCGTCTAGACCCGGCTTCTGAGTATGTAGGAAACGGTGATGGGAACAGAAGAGCTGAGGCCGACTCTGTTCTACCCAGGCTGGGGGCCTGATACCAAGGACCCTCCCAGGCTGTCAGTGCCCTGTGCGCAGGGCTAGGGTAGGGTGGCAGGCCACGTTTCCTCATCCCAGGAGGCAGATGCCCTTATTACCCCGTTTGATAGAGGAAGGTGAAGCCCAGGGAAGCCATGTGTATTAGAATTCGGTTTGGCTGCAGGGTTAGGAAACCGTAATAATAGCGGCTTAACCAACAGAGTTAACTTTTTCATGCACCAAAGGAGACCAGAGCTGGGGGGCCCAGGGCCACAGAAAGCTTTTTGCTCCTTGTCCTGTGGCCCCATCATTCTCAGGGTCCAGCGTGCCACCGTTGTGGCAGGGCCTCTGAGGGTTGGACTGCGTGCTTCCGCATCCGTCCTAAAGGCCGGGACCCAGATGGCCAAGCTCTTAGCCGCAGGGGAGGCGGGGCAGAGAGGCACCCCATCTGTGTAGCCCGTGCCCATGTGAAACATCGAGGAGGGAAGACTGGGCATTGTTTCGGCCACAGAGACGGGGGATTTGATGCTGCTCAGGGTTTGAATCTGGAACGGCCCAGCCTCTTAGCCAGAGCTGCCTCCACTCGTGGCCCTGGGGGATGCGTGGATGCAGACACACTGCCGCTGGGGCGCCCCACAGCCCAGAGGGGCTGGCCTGGGGCCCTGGTCTTGAAAGAAAGTCTTCCTTGCTTTGCTTGGGGTGGAATGGTGAGGGGCAGACGCACTCCCCTGGGTGTGTTTTGCACACCCGGAGGCCCGGAAACCAGAGCTCCAGCGAGCCCGGGAGTAAAGCTCATTAGTGTCCTCATGTTCACCCAACTCCTGCAGTCCCTTCCTAACCCCTCTGGCCACCTTTACAGGCTGGAGGCCCTCCCTCCCCTCGCCCCCGCCCCGCCCCCTCCTGTGCTCCCACTCATATGACACTTGTTGGAAACTTGTTGGACAACGCCCGTGCCCTGACAGGTGGCCTCGCTGGGCCTGAGCAGATCGATGGCTCTTGTGCTGCCTTCCTGGCAGGACTGCCCTAAGGGAGCCCTACCAAGCCCCTCGCTCCCGGGACGAATCCTGTGGGATCTGTCTGAGGACTGGCATGCCTCGGCCGAAACAGCTGTCCCAGTCTCCTAGGAGCCACCTAGCGGGAGTCCAGGTGCTAAGGGCAAAGGTCAGCAGGTGCTCCAGGCTGCGCTTTGAGCTGCCTCCCTGCTGCCTGGAGCAGGTGTGGCTGGAGGAGGGGTGGGCGGGTCTAGGGGCCTCTTGGTTTCATTTACTCTGGATTCTTCTCTGCTGCTTGTGTCATCGTCATCACGTCTGCTGTTTATGGAGGGCACTGGGGTCCCGCAGGTTTCATGGGGCGTCCCAGCCTCGTCACACTTAGTCCCTCTACAGCCTTTCCATTTCACAGGCAGAAACGGAAGCTCAGGGAGGTCAAGTGTGTTGCCCAAGGTCGCAGCATGAGAAGAGAGCTGGGATTCAATCCAGGCAGTGTGACCCAGAGCAAGGGAGGAGCCCAGACGTCCTCAGCCAGCTGCCAGGAGCATCTGTGACGTTTATGGTGCTCACTTCTAGGCCGGGGGTCCCCACCTGGAGTTAAGTGGAGGGCTCCTGAGAACGGCCCAGGAAGGGCCGGTACACCTGCTCTGCTGGAGGAGGCACGCGGAAGGGGTCTGCTCCCAGGCCGCCTGCCTTGCCATGGAAAGCTGGCACCAGTCACCCACCTGGCAGCTGGCAGCAGTGCTTCCAGAGCGCCAGGCGGGGCACCCAACCCGGCCGTGGGCCACTGGGGCTTCAGGTGACCTTGGCTCCACCCCTCCTGGCTTCCCCCAGGTGGT